AATACAGTTCCCTGTGCTGTACGGTAGAAACTTGTTTATCTATTTTACATACAGTAGTTAGTATCTGCAAATCTCGAACTCCCAATTCATCCCTTCCCACCCCTTTCAGCCCCTGGTAACCATAAGTTTGTTGTCTAAGTCTGTGAGTCTGTTTCTGTTTTGTAAATAAGTTCATTTGTGTCTTTTTAAAAGATTCCACATATGAGCGATCTCATACAGTACTTTTCTTTCTTTCTGGCTTACTTCACTGAGGATGACCATCTCCAGGTCCACCCATATTACTGTAAATGGCATTGTTTTATTGTTTTTTTGTGGCTGAGTGGTATTCTGTTGTATAAGTACACTGCATCTTCTTTGTCCAGTCACGTGTGGATGGACACTTAGGTGCTCCCATGTCCTGGCTGTTGTCAGTAGCGCTGCTGTGAGCATGGGGGTGCGGGTGTCTTCTGGAATTAGTTTTCTCCAGATATGTGCCCAGGAGCGGGATTCCTGGGTCATACGGTAAGTCTATTCCTAGTCTTTTGAGGAACCTCCACACTGTTTTCCACAGTGGCTGCACCAAACTGCACTCCCACCAGCAGTGTAGGAGGGTTCCCCGTTCCCCACAGCCTCTCCAGCATCTATCGTTTGTGGACTTTTGAATGATGGCCATTCTGGCTGGTGCGAGGTGATGCCTCATTGTAGTTTTGATCTGCGTTTCTCTGACGATTAGTGATACTGAGCATTTTCTCACGTGCCTATTGGCCATTTATATGTCTTCACTGGAGAAATGTTTGTTTAGGTCTTCTGCCCATTTTCGGATTGGGTTGCTCTTTTTTTGTTAATAAGCTGTATGAGCTGTTTATATTTTCTGGAGATCAAGCCCTTGTCTGTTGCATTGCTTGCAAACCTTTCCTCCCATTCCGTGGCTTGTCTTTTTGCTTTGTTACAGTTTCCTTTGCTGTACAAAAGCTTGTAAGTGTAATTAGGTCCCATTTGCTTATTTTCGCTTTATTTCTATTGCCGGGGTAGACGGCCCTAGGAGAATATCGCCAAGATTCATGCACAGACCCATCATTTCTCATACAGTCTCCTAATCAATATTCTCTCGTTCTCAACTTTCTGCTATTACAAGTAACCCTGTAACGAGCATCTGTAGATGGCTGTTACCACACATACACGCACCGTAGTGGTTTCAGGATCTGCTTCTCAGAGCGCGGTCGTTGGTTTCTGGGCTTACCCATTAAAAAATTTTTTTAAATTTTAATTTTAATTCATTTTTTGGGTGGGGTAGTTAGGTTTCTTTGTTTATTTACTCTTTTAATGGAGGTCCTGGAGACTGAACCCAGGACCCCATGAACGCTGAGCAGGTGTGCTACCACGAGCTATACCCTCCCCCCCAGGCTTACCCATTCACAGTGTTGACAGCTGCCACCGAAAGGCCCCAAACCAAGCGCGTATTCTGCCACCCACCAATAGTATCTGAGAGTTCCCACTTCCCCACACCCCGGTAACCCATCCTCTGGGCAAAATCGATCTTTGAAATTTGCCATCCTTCAAGTGAAAAAAATCGTAATATTTTTGTAATCAGAACAAATTTCAGTATATCTTTTTTTTCCTGTAAGCACGTAACAGACCATTTTTAATGTTCTTTCTTAAGCAGATGTGAGCTCTGTAAACCAACCCAGGGAAGAGAGAGGTGGTTTCATCTATCAAAGGAGAACCAAGTCCAGAAGGTAGTGAAGCGGGAAGCCCCATGAAAAAGACCGGCAGGACCCCCAGGCAGGGCCACTACTCTCCTGCCAGCACCATCCGGTTTCCTGGTCCAACGGCCATTATCTTGCTTTTTGTCTCTGAAGTGGCTCGCTGCTAAGAAAGTGGAACTTACCCCAAGATTCTATTGGTTCCCTGAGCTAACTCCTGATTGGTCCATTTGTAGCACCTCGTTTGCATAGAGCTCACTCCCAACTGGTCCATTTCTACAAAGCTTATTCCAATTTAGTCAAAACAACTTATTTGCATATTATGTTGCACAGTATACACTGGCAGCCTATAAAAGCCTGTGTAAACCTACAGACGGGGTCCAGAGCTTGGAGTGTTAACTCTTCTGGGCCCGCTGACGTGATAAACCTGAGTTCTCCAACCCTCCGAGTGCCGCTTGGTCTCTCGCCCGGATCCAGGCTGCTGTCACAACTGAGCTGTAACACTGAGCTGTAACACACTTTGCTGCAACAGCAGTTCTTTTCGGTCATGCAGACCTCTGGTAAATCTGACTGTGAGCTGACAGATGGCAAAAACTGTCATTACAGTCACGTTCGGGGTATTCAATCCTACTGACCATTAGCTGCACGTGACTATCACATTGCGCATAATTTTGTAACCTAGTAAGTACTACCTGGTAAACGCTCACCTCTGAAGTTTTTAGAGTCGGAGGTTCTTCCCTCCTTCCGGGGACCTTCCTAGCCTCGAGCCATTTTTAGCTGGCACAAGCAGCAGCCTAATAAACAAGTTCCTAATGCATTTCATTGCACACACATGTCATTAGCTGGTTAATTAAATTAATAGAAGTACGCCCTCGTGAATACCACCTGAAAAAAGTAGGAAGAATTTCTTTTAAAAGCTAGCAATGAGATAAAACGTGTTCTCTCCCAAAGCCTGGACGACGCCTCTAATTAATGTAGAACAACAGTCACGCGGGCCCCAAGCGCCTGACACTTCAGCTGCCGGCAGGGATACAGCCCAGCTGACCACAGCACAGACCCAGCACGACACGAAACACAGCACAAAAGGGGACTTAGAGCCTGACCATAACAGAACTTCGTTTTCAGTCACAACACCTAGAATCTCATTTCAAGCTATACCCACGAGAGTCTGTTTCTGCAAACGTGGCCAGGTCGGCGGAAGCACCGTCTCCTCCCTCTGCACTGTTTGCTGGCTCCTCCTGCGGGCTCAGCGCTGAACAGCGAGTTAATCCTGCAGGGAACCCCCTCACCCCATCTCACAGTGCTGCCCTCACGTTGGGAGCCAGCAAGACGCACCAGGACAGACCCCTGGACTGACAGCCTCTGTCTCTTCCTGGCCAGCACCTGACAGACCCGCCCCAGCGGGAATTCGCAGACACACGTCCAGGCGCACACACGAAGGAACACAAAGGCAGGGGATCTGCTGCCACATCTGAACAGAAGTCACGGGACATGACTGAGAACAGGCATATCCAGAGATTTCCAGAACAGCAGCTCATCACTGTGCCAGTAGTGACTGTGAGTTACAGCCACTGCTGCCTCCGAACGAGGACGGACCAGACCACCGAGAGTCCAAGCCATGTGACCTCACTTCCTTACACAGGAGACGAACTTCTGTTACTAGACTGACCTAACTCCGAAGGACACGGTGTGAACCACAGATCTGAAGGGAGACTCGCCCCCAGCACCAGGGACGCACATCTCCGGGGACACAGTCCAGTGTCTGCCCATCCCGCCTCTCAGCCAGAGCAGCTTGCAATGTCCCGTCTACAGGTGGACTGGTCAGCAGGGACAGGCCCAGCCTGGCAGGGACCCCGTAACAGGTCTCCACCGTCTCTTGGCATCATTTCTTTAATACGTTTTGTTCTGACTATAAAGATACTTCGTGCTAAGCATGGAAAATGTAGAAAAGACAGAAATGAGTCAGAATGACACAAATTCAGCGCCACCACCGACACGTCAGGGTCTGCTGCTTCCCAGCCCCTCTCGCACCCAGATGTGAGCACAACTGTGGTCATTCTGTGGCCAGCTTACGTCTTGCTTTTTTTCCTTAAATTTTTTTTTTAAATGTAGGTGCTGGGGATTGAACCTGGGATGTCATGCATGCTAAGCACACACTCGGCCAATGACATACCTCCTCCCCCCTAAAAAGTTTTATCATGAGCATCTCCTTGTTATGTTAATTTCAAAGCTTCATTTTTTTAACGTCACCACGGATACCGTATCACGTACTCCATGCTTTTCACCCATTCTCCTCCTGTCGGACGTCTAAGTGGACTGTTTTCGCTACTGAGACCGCTCTCTTCTCAGCAACAGGGCTCAACAGAGGACTACGACCTGCCTCCAGCACTAGCAACGACTATTTTGTGTTTTCTTGACAAACATCAGTATCTCTGGCGGGAACAGGAAGGCAGGAGAAAAGTTGTAACAAAGTCCAAATCCTCCGTGGAAATCACCTGCATGTGCAGCTTGAAACCTAAGTACGAACAAGCTGCAGTTTTCAGCTGGGAAGTGTCTGTGGGTGGAGGGGGCGGGGATTTGTCAGAACGGGCTTCAGACCAAGAAAGTCCAAGGAGGAAGCCCCACAGTGAGGCTCCCTGCAGCCAGACGGGCACGGAGCCCCCGTCCCGCCCCGTCCCCGGAACGCGGGGCCCAAATCTGCAGCCATGGGACACACGTCACGCCACATCACGAAGGTGGTGCGTCAGACCTGGAAGGGGGTGTCCCGGAATCAGCCAGACGCATTCGGTTGGCCCCGGTGGACAGGTCCTTCAAAAACTTGGCTAGCTGAGTCCGACAGCCCCCACGCGGTAAGCAGCCCAAGTGGGCCTGGGCACCCGGGACGAGCTCGCCAACCCACAGGGGCACACCTCACACAGGCGAGCTCGGCGAAGTCAGGCTTCTCCCCCCCCCTTTTTTTGGGACAAAATGGGAAGGTAAATTAAGTCTCTTTCTCTTGCTGTTTGTCTAACTGTTAACATCAGCCATCGTGACCGCGACTTGGCACTCCCTTCAACAGCCATGTGTGACAGAGCAGGAGGCTGGCTGGCACAGGGCTCCATGCAGCTGCACCCAGGCTAGAGGGGGTCACGGTGCGGGGCCCGGGGATCACAGAGAGTAAACCAGTGGGGACGCAAGCCTGAGCTCAGAGCAGAGGGGTCGAGGTGCCCAGGTCCGAGGCCGGGGCCCTGAAGGCCCATGGGCATTTGTGGGGACAGGGGAGCACACACTCGCCGGGGTTCTGGCTCCACCGCCCTAGAGCTGAGGACGCACGGCTACCTTCATGACGGGCTGGGCGAAGTACCGGGCGCTCCAGTCACAGAACCCCGTCTGCATCGTGGCCGAGATGAAGCTTCTGTGTCCGGCCGCATCGTCTGGGTCGTCGGTGGTCTTTGCGGCGTCAGGAAGGGAGGAGGGGGAAGAAGACAGGAACAGTCAGTCACGTCATCCCCAAACCCCTGGGAGCTCGAGGCCGTCCATCCCTGGAGCCCAAGGCACAGGGCCAGTGGTCCGGCTTCTGAGGACAACATCTCCGAGCCCCCTCACTTCTGCGTCCCGGTGACCAGGGGGCCTGATGATCAGCACAGGGCTGTGAGGCCCAGGGGCTGGCCGAGACGGCCTGGGCTGCAAGTTCCCATACTCCCCATCCGCGCCAGGTCGCCCAACCCCGTGGGCCCCTGCTGCCTGGTACCGGGGCCGCCCCTCTGACCAGGCCGGTCCCACAGGTTCCGG